AAACCCTAAACCTGAAACCCCCAAAACCCTAAGCCCCAAAAAAGCAAAGGCGCCGCCGGCTGTGGGCCTGGTGGGAGCCCGCGCCTCGTCGGTCAGCGGCCCCGTGGCGACGCTGGCAGCGGTGCGGCAGGTGCCACAGAGCCTCGGGCCGCGCGAAGAGAGGGTTTAGGGGTTTATTGAGGGTTTAGGGTTTATTGAGGGTTTAGGGTTTAGGGTTTAGGGTTTATTTAGGGTTTAGGGTTTATTTCGGGTTTTAGGGTGTAGGGTTTAGGGTGTATTTAGGGTTTAGGGCTGAGGGGGAGAGGGCTTAGGGTTCAGAGTACGTTCTTCCTTGCACAGGGTTTATCTAAGGGGGATGCTTTGATAGGTAAGGTAAAAAGTCGTCCGTGGCTGTGTTCTGTGGCGTCTTTCCTAAAGACTCCAAGCCCGGGGTTTGGTGCTCAGCGTCGATGATCCCAATACCCCAATGCCTAAATCAACCGTAGACCCTACTCCCCACCCCTAAACCTTGGGTACTGCCCCCATACAGTAACAGTCTATAATAGGGCTATTATTAAGGGCCTAATATATCCATAATATAAATATTATCCAACTGTTACTGAGTGGGGGCAGTACCCAACCTAAACCCGAATCTCTGGCCCCTAAACCCCAAACCCGTAGAAACTAAACCCGGGCCCCTAAACCCTAAACCCTGACACGGATCCTGACACCTAAGCCCCAAAAGCATGGCCCCGTGTCCCTGAACTCTCGTTCTCATGCCCTCATGCCCTAACCAGGGCCTACACCCTACAGCCCAAATATCGACATTTGGGTCAGATTCCCTAAGCCCTACACCCCCCCAAGAGGATATCGCTGACACTAACCCTAAACTCAACCCTCAACCACACCCTGAACCCAAAACCCTAAACCCTGACCTCAAAAAGGATATCTTTCGGCTCTACCAACCCGGCTTTGTCGAACAAGGCCCTGGGCTGGCAACTTGTGGCAGAGAAGGGGAGTTTAAAGTTCAGGGTATGGGGGCTTCGGGCTAAAGGCTTAGGGGTCCAGCTGGTTCAGGGTTATAGGTTTCGGGTTTATAAGGTTTAGGGTTTCAGAGTTTAGGGTTTCGTGTTCAAGATGGTTCAGAGTTATGGGTTTCGGGTGTAGGGTTTGGGGCTTAGGCTGCAGAGATCAAGTATCTGGGTTTGTATTCTAGGGCTTATCGTCGGAATAGGGGATGGGAGTTCCGAGCTAAGGGTGTTCATGGCTACCTTAGCTCTTCTATTCGGGTTCAGGCGGTTATGGGTGCAGGGTTTCGGGAAGTGAAGTTTCCTTAAAGGCCCCTATAAAGCCCTAACCCTACACTACAATCCCTGGAAGGCCGTTTATCCATACTTCCTTCGCGTGGTACCACCGGACACGGTGCAGGGCTTGGCGTTGTGGAGCTGGATCCTGCATTTCGATGCGCCCTTGGCAATTTGCTTGTATTCCACCGAGACCAGTCATGTGAAAGAAAAGCTTTTGGTGAGTTTCTGGGTCACCTTAAACCCTCAACCTTAACCCCCAAAGACCTAAACCCTAGACCCCAAGCCCTAAACCCGAAGCCTTAAGCCCCTAAACCCTAAACCCCTACACCCCAAATCCTAAACCCTATAAGCCCTAAGCCCCAAAATGCCTAAACCCAAAAACCCGTAAGTTCCTAGAGGCCTGCGCCCTAAAACTCCCAACCTCTCACCCGCAAAGTCGTAAGCCAAAACCCCTAAGCCCGTATAGTTCTCTTCACGGTCATCCTGGCAGTTCGGCCCCAAACCCTAAACCCTAAACCCTAAACCCTGAATCCTAAACCCTAAACCCTAACCCTAAACCCTTAACCTTGAATCCTAAACCCTAAACC